GCCACGAGCTCAAAGAGTTGATCAAACCACGTACCGAATCAACCGACGCGGTGCTGAAGTGGCTGAAGGTCTCGGGTGTCCCCTCCGAGGATGTTGAAAATGACGGCGAATGGATCAACTTTGTTGCTCCGGTTTCAACCGCCGAGAAAATGATGGACACCACATTCAAGACCTACCAGAGTCTAGTGCGAGAGGATGTTAAGAAAATCCGCACTCTTAAATACTCTGTACCCAAGGAGGTCCGCGAGCATATCGACATGATCCAGCCTACCACCCGCTTCAGCCAGATGCGTCCGCAAGACAGCCAAATCATTGAGAAGGAGATCATCGGTAGTGTTCAGACTGTCGGTGTCGTGAACGCCAGCTGCAACAACCAGATCACTCCCCAATGTCTGAAGGATCTGTACAACTTTGCGGACTTCAAACCTGATTCCGAAGTGCCTACTCTCCTCGGCGTGAACGGCTTCCTTGAGGAGTATGCTCGTTTTAAGGACTTCGCGGCCTTCGCCCAGAAGTACTCTCCCGGTGCAATTGGAAGCAACTTCACGTGGACCTCCATCAACGGTTCGTATACCAAAATGACCTCATTCGCAACCATTGCTAACAGAATGTTTAGGCGGTATTTTGGATCAACGAGCGACGAATGACAGCGTCGAAGCCAATTTGGATATTCAGTACACTGCGGGACTGGTCGCGCCGGGCATCAAAACAAACTACTATAGCACACCCGGCCGTGGGCCGCTAGTTCCCGACCTCGACCAACCTAACGAGGCCGCCAACGCGAACGAGCCGTATCTTGATATGTTCACTTACCTAGTTAATCTGCCCGATGAGGAACTTCCTCAGGTTTTGACGACTTCTTATGGAGAGGACGAGCAGTCTGTCCCAGAGGAGTACTCGAAGAAAGTGTGTGACATGATCGGCCAACTTGGTACCCGAGGGGTTTCCGTTCTTTTCTCGAGCGGCGATACGGGTGTCGGTTCTGCATGCCAAACCAACGATGGCAAGAATACTACACGTTTCCTCCCCATTTTCCCAGCGTCTTGCCCATACGTTACTTCGGTTGGGGGTACGACTGGCGTCAACCCTGAGAAGGCCATCTATTTCTCTTCCGGTGGCTTCTCTGACCGTTGGGCTCGCCCATCATACCAGGACGCCGCTATTTCCGAGTACCTCGAGAAGCTTGGCAGCCAATGGGAGGGCTTTTATAACCCCGAGGGCCGTGGCTTCCCTGATGTCGCCGCACAGGGTGCTCATTACCGCGTTGTCGACAAGGGCACAGAGATCTCAGTTGGAGGAACTAGCGCCTCCGCGCCGACGTTTGCGTCTGTCGTCGCGTTGCTCAACAATGCCCGTGCCTCAGCTGGAAAACCTTCCCTGGGCTTCTTGAATCCTTGGATCTACAGCCAGGGCTTCAAGGGATTAAACGACATCACCCAAGGGGGCTCCACGGGGTGTACTGGACGGAGCATTTATTCTGGTCTTCCAGCTCCCTATGTCCCTTGGGCTTCGTGGAATGCGACTGAAGGTTGGGACCCCGTCACCGGCTATGGTACGCCAGACTTTCAGAAGCTGTTGAAACTTTCCGAGGCCGGTACCTATTCTGGCAGAAGAGGCTTGGGGGGTCGCTTTTAAGCGCCCGACTCCTTTTATAGTATAATCACATTTGCAAATGGAAGTAGCGTATTCTATTCGGAAAATCATCCACACAATGTGGTAGAGCTTTGGAGTTTGTGTTCCGAAAGGCAAGGCGTGCGCCACCGATGATCTCAACGTTTCAAGCACGCCACAGCCGGCTAGCCTGGCGTGCCTGGCTCGGCGATTGCACGGGCCGATTCACCTTTCGCTCCAACGTCGACCATCACTCTCATCAACCTCCTTCATCCCGCCATCAGTTTGAAGCATTTTTTATCGCAAGTTGAAGCACTTGCATTGATTGGCCCTCACTCTCGCTGATACGCTCCCGGACCTTGCCACCACGCGAAATCCTTGCGGATTTGTTCCTGGATCTTGTCATATCGAGCTTCCCTTTACGGCTAAAGGCCCTTGCAGCTTATATGGAGCAAGCTCCACTAACAGGCGCGGCACCGTTCCGGCGTTGCTTGCTCGGGATCCTTACCAAAGCTTGCCTCAAAACCGCAGCTCGACGGGTTGGAATCAACAAATTTTCCCTCTGCGCGGATAAGATTTCGGAGGCCGATTGGAGTGGCAGGTAGGCTTGGAAGGATTGAATGCAATTTCGACCTCGCGTTCCGGGCACCCGGGAGCTTATCTTGGTGTCACACGATCTGCCGTTCCGGTAATTTGGCCATGATGCAACAACCTTGGCTTCAGGCATGGGGTAGCCCAGAGAGCTTCCCCGAGCTTCCTCATCCTTGGTCTTTTGGCGTTCTGGAGAGTAGCAACTCGTTCCTTGCATTGTTCATGAGCGTTGCTATTCGCAAGGCTCTCCGAGCCCTGTTTCTCGTTTTCGACTCTTCGGCCTGTCGCAGGACAGTTAGAGGCTTTTGCATCCCGCGTGCTCTTGTGACCTCATGGCGGCGCAAGGTGGACCTCAGATTTACTTGTAAGCTCCTCACGACGATGACCTGGTGGCTGAATTGCGGGGTGACCGAATGTTGTGCCTGCCTAATCCGGCGTCGTATACACCCTGGTTCACTTTTGACTATCACCTTGGACACCAATTTAAACCGCCCACCTCCCAGCAGGCTGGGCTTTGCGTGACGTCGCTCCCCTCAATTCTTACTCTTACGCGTTCTGTTGTTAGACAATCTGTTGGTACCTTGTGGTTCAATTGTACGTTACTGTCATCACTACGTTGGTCTTGGGTCGTTCGCAATAGCTTCAAGCTGGGAAACCTAGAACCAGTCGCACGAAACCCCGCCTTTGAATAAATTGCGCGCGTCGTCCCACTCCGTTCTAACCAACCCAGCAAAATGCGGTTCTTGTCACTGTTGGCCCTTGGTGGCCTCGCGAGCTTCGCGTCTGCTCGGAGTGCCCGGTACTCCGGGAAGAACATTGAGCTTCCTCGACCACGACATGGCTATCCAATGCAGCCTGGACAAGCTCAGGCAAAGCGCGAGACCAAGAAAATAATTGCGCAGAACGAGAAGACCGCAAGTACGTTTTATCTCTGCTTTTCGGAGACCAATACTGATCAGCTATCAAGAATTCGCCGTGAATGGTTCCGCCGGTGCTATCCCCGACATTGATTTCGACATCGGCGAGTCCTACGCAGGCCTCTTGCCAATCAGCTCTGCACCCAATGCCTCTGAGCTGTACTTCTGGTTCTTCCCTTCCGAGAACCCGGATGCCAGCGACGAAATCACCATCTGGCTCAATGGAGGCCCTGGATGCTCCAGTCTGGAGGGTTTCTTGCAAGAAAATGGCCCCATTCTTTGGCAGTATGGCACCTACAAACCGGTCTACAATCCATGTAAGTAGCATTTGCGGAGTATAATTTCCCTCACTAACCCACGTCAAGGGACCTGGGTCAATCTCACCAACATGGTCTGGGTGGAACAGCCCGTCGGTACCGGCTTCACCCAAGGCACACCCACCGCGAATAGCACCGAAGAGGCGGCACAGCAGTTCCTAGGCTTCCTGAAGAATTTCATTGACACATTCGGTCTGTGCAACAGGACTATTTACATTGCCGGCGAATCCTATGCTGGAAAATATATCCCGTATTTTGCCGATGCTATGCTGCAGGCCGACGACAAGGAATATTATGATGTCAAAGGAATCATGATCTACGATCCGAGCGTAGCTGCAGATGTGCTGTTGCAGGAGGGTAAGTTGGTTCGCACGGAAATGATATGAGTGGAAGCTAAGGCTGCCGTAGTCCCCGCGGTTCCTTTCGTTGACACATGGGCCGGCTTGTTCAATTTGAACCAGACCTTCATGGATGATATTCACAACCGCGCCGATGAATGTGGCTATACGGAGTACCTGGATACCTACCTAGCTTTCCCTCCATCGGGCAAGCTTCCTCTCCCAGCCAACAACAGCAAAGTTCCTGCGTGCAGCCTCTGGAACGATATCACCAACGCAGTCCTTCTCACCAACCCGTGCTTCGATATTTATCAGGTCGCTACGACTTGCCCTATCCTGTGGGATGTTCTTGGATTCCCAGGCTCCATTCCCTACCTCCCAGACGGTGCGACTATCTACTTCAATCGCACAGAAGTACAAAAGGCCATCAATGCCCCAATCCAGGAATGGGAGGAATGCTCCAACGGGGTCTTGGACACAGATACTTCGCTTGATTCCTCCATCGTTGTTCTTCCGCGTGTCATTGACGCCTTGGACCGCACCATGATTGTTCACGGTGACCTCGATTGGATTCTTCTCGGCAACGGCTCTCTCCTGACCATCCAAAACATGACCTGGGGCGGAATTCAAGGTTTCCAGGAGGCGCCATCTGACGAGTTTTACGTCCCGTATCACGACGAAGTCAGCCTATCCACTCTATCTGCGGCTGGAATTATGGGTACTACACGCACTGAGCGCAAGTTCACCTGGGTATCCCAGAGCTTGAGTGGCCACATGGTTCCACAGTACCAACCGTCCAGCGCGTACAGGCAGCTGGAATTCCTGCTCGGCAGGATCGATAGCTTGTCTGAGAAGGGCACATTCACGACGACGCCGGCTACGAATGGCACTACAAAGAGGGATGTGGGCATCATGAGCGAGAGGTCCCTCTTTGACCGTGTGGAGAAGTGGGTTTGAAATGTGGTTGATTCACGAACTAGACAATCCTTAATGTTTATACCTTGATAGCCTTAGTGTCAGGAAAAAATGAGACTCAAGCTCAGGCCATTTTGACTGATCCTCGTATCATTTTCTTCATCGAAGGGCCATTTGTGGTTGTTGAGTTCCGAGTGGGTTTAGGCCTGCATATGCTGTGCCCTACAGTGCAACGAACTCAACATCCCTGGGAAACTGTATTCCAGCGTGCCTCCCTAGGAGGCTAAAAGAAGCAAAAGAAAGCCTGGTACAGGTCCTGCCCGGATTCGAACCGGGGTCGCCGGAATGTTCTGATGTCGGTCAGAATCCGAAGTGATAACCAACTACACTACAGGACCATCACGTGATATAGTCGAAATCCATAAATTTATAGTATATATAGATAGTAGATGAGTGCAGTTAGAAGAAGGTATTTTGTTCGCTCGGCATAGCCCCCTCGGTCTGTGTGTGCCGAGCGGCTTCCCGAAGTCGGCCTGTGACTGGCAGCCGCGCCAAGCCATGCGGAATTGACGTTGGCTGATTGTCAGCAATTGCGACATTCTGCATCGCACCTTTGCCGGACCTCCGCCGTTCTCCCCGCAGCCATAGGTAGATAGCTGTCAAAGCACTCGACCTCCACTATGAATCCCTTCATACCCGCATCTCCCTCGCTCTACCTCTCTAGCGCCTACCATGCCCCTCCCCCTCAACCGAGACTCAGTCCTCCAAGCCCATGAACTCATCAAACCGCACATCCACCTCACGCCCGTGCAAACCAATACCACGCTTTCGAACCTCGCATCGACACCCCAGTCTCACGATGCGTTGAAGGGGACGCCATGGGAGGGCCAAGATCCCGCGAAGCCGAAGATCAGGTTGTTCTTCAAATGCGAGAATTTCCAACGTATTGGCGCGTTCAAGGTTCGAGGGGCGTTTCATGCGGTTAAGAGGTTGATCGAGGAGCAGGAAATTGAAGAGGTTAGACGAAAGGGTGTCGTTACGCATTCTTCTGGTATGGATTATAGCTTTCATTGCCTCATTTCTAGCTATCTCATATGGACATGCAACTCACTACATCGCATCATTTTGGAGGCCCTAGATGTTTTGATATGGGTTAGAGCTAATCGAGTATATCTGCTCAGGAAACCATGCACAAGCCCTCGCCCTCGCCGCAAAAACCTTCTCCATCCCCGCCCACATCGTCATGCCCACCATCTCGACCCCGTCCAAAATCGCAGGCACCCAGGCCCAGGGCGCAAATATCCACTTCAGCGGCTCGACGTCGCAGGAACGGGAGGCCGTTGTCAAAGAGATTGTCAAACAGACCGGCGCTACGCTCGTCCCGCCATACGATCACCCGAATATTCTTCTGGGTCAAGGGACCGCGGCGCTAGAACTGCAGAGCCAGGCTGCGGAGTTGATGGCGACGGATAAGGGGTTGAGTGTCGCGGAGGGGAAGCAGGGACTGGATGCCGTGATTACGCCGTGTGGGGGTGGCGGGTTGCTGTCTGGGACGGCGGTCGCGATGTTCGGAACGGGGATAAGGGTGTTTGGTGCGGAACCGAGTTTCCAAGGTGCGGATGATGCACGGAGGGGTGTCGAATCGGGAAAGCGGATAGAGACCGTTAAGACGCTGACAATTGCGGATGGGTTGAGGACGCCCCTGGGAGAGGTGACGTGGAAGATTGTGTCGGATAATGGAATGGTGAGGGGACTGTATAGTGTGGCGGAGGAGCAGATTAAGAGTGCGATGAGGCTGGTGTTGGAGAGGATGAAATGTTTTGTTGAACCGAGTGCGGTCGTTGGGTTGGCTACGGTGCTGTATAATGAGGATTTTAGACGGATGGTGGAGAAAGAGGCGGGGGAAGAAGGCTGGAACATAGGGATTGTGTTCAGTGGGGGTAATACAACAGTAGAGGCTATTAGCAAGCTGTTCGCTCCAGCGACAGAGGCAAAGGCAGAGAGGGCCGAGGGAGTGGTGGGCCAGGACGGCAGTAAAATGGCCGAGAATGTTGCTGGTTAGATGTTGAAGTTACATCACAGGGAGAAATGTCTGTGTGAGCCACACATCCACTGCAGCAACCATGCAAGTATATTCTACTAAATCGTCTTTTCGCCCGCATCATCAGGCCCTACCCTCCGCCTCTCTAATCATTGCCTGCATATCCGTCTCCTCCACCTCCCCTTCCACCCTCCCTTCAAACCCCTCCTCCAGAATCCCAATCAACTCATCCAGCCTCGTCACCACCAAATCCGTATGTTGGTGCTCAGCCAGATGTCTATTCACTTCATTAACCAACAACACCGTCGCCGCCCCGGCCCTAAACCCCGCCGTCATATCATCAATCGAATCCCCAACCATAATCAGACTCTTCCCGCCATCCTCATGCATCCACGTCTTCGCAATATGCAGTATCCCTGCCGGATCCGGTTTTGGCGGACGAAACTCCCGCGTCACAATCGGATGGAAATGCGAATCTGGTAAGAAAGTGTCCAGGAGATGTGCAACGGGGGCATCGAAGTTGCGCGTGCAGATCCCCTTTTTGATACTGCGGGAATCGAGGTAGTCCATTAGGGTCACGAGACCTGTTTGCGGCTTTTGGGAGGCCATGGCGTTGCGCTCGATTTGTCGGATTTTTTCTTGCGCGGAGGATTGCTCGGGCTCCGGGAGAGAGTAGATGTGGTCGAGGATGTCAGTTGGCTTTTCGATGTTGAGGGCTGCGCTGGTGGGGCGTTAGAGGGGACGCTGGGTGGAATTTGCTGGCTTGACGACTGTATTCTGCGGTCTTTTTTTTCTTTTATTCGGGGTTCTCTTGCAAGTACGTATGGGTTGCGTATTTGATGTGTTGACTTACCGCATCTCAGCGAACATGTAATTTTGGGGCTCGCCTGTGGGTGTATTAGCAACACGGATCGAAGAATTCAGGACCCAGGGCATATATAACGCCACCACAATAACCATGAGAGATATCTTATACAAGTAAAGGATTAGAAGCGAAGCCATATTCGCCGCGCTCTTTGCGATCAGGCATTTGCTGCCAGGAAACGATGACGTAAATCGCAAAATACAACACCGGTACTCACACAGTGTCCCATCAACATCAAACACAATCCCCTTCAGCAACAGCCTCTCATCTCCCTCCCTTCTCTTGCTAGGATCCAGTGGCTGGAAGCGCCTTGGTCTCAGAGGTACCGGTGTCATGCTTGAATAAAGTAGCGAATTGATCTTTGACGTCCTTGGATAGGGCTTATAAGACCATTTGCTTGATCGAATGATCGGACGTAGGCATTGGGTTAGATTGAGGGTCTGAGCAAATATCGGGGTCATGGAGAACGTTGTTGTGATATCGGTGGGTCGAATTGCTTTTTGAGGAAGTGGGTCCGGGGAAGCTGCGGGGTTGGTTGGTGAGGCCTGCCGTAGTGACCAGTTGTCGCCATGATCCCCTGATTTACCTCGTTTGTTCGAACATCATCCGCGTTTGTATGACCAACCACCCCAAGGCAACTTAAACTCACGACTCAAAATATTGGGTGCGTTGGCTCAGTACGGTCACGAACCTACCCATACGACCAAGTCCCTTGATACCGTGAGACATTGATTCACTCACCAAAGAACAAGCTATTGGAAGTAATCAGAAGGCTTGACGGTATTAGGCAATTAGTCAAGCTCGCCCTAAGGCCCTTGGAAAAGAGAGAAACAGGATAAGAAAGCGGTTTTGAGGGTTGTACAATATGCGAAGTAGAAATGAGCCAAAGCCTAGGAGGATAAAGCTCTAACTTAAGCCAAAGAGAAAGAAGATGTGTATACCTCAGCACAGACCAATACGAATCACCACAGCCCCCACATTACACCAGCCCTCTGTCACTCCCTCACTCACAACCCACCATCCCGCACTCTCTCAGCCCTAAAGTCCATTCTTCTCCAAAAAATCCGTAATCACCCCAAACGTATCCTTCGCATTATCATGGAAATTGACATGATGGCTGGCGCCCTTTACCAGCGTCTGCTGCAGCGGTTTCGCATTCTTATACAGTGTCTTGGCCGGTTCTTCGAAGATGCCAGGACAGTATCCATCGCAGACGATGTAGTCTTTTTCCCCGGTAATGTGCAGCGCAGGCTTGTCCCATTTCTCGGCGCTGATCGTGCTGGCGAATGTCAGGAATTCGCCGGCGGAAAAGGGCTCTTTGGCGGATTCGGTGAAGAGCGCAGTGGAAGGGGAGTATAGGGGCGCTTTGAAGTAACTGAACGGGGGTTAGCGGGACATAAGTTGGCGTGGTGGAGAGAGAGCAAACGCACTTGTGGATTAAGCCAAAGACATCTGGCCAGGTCAGATACCCGTTATCTCTGTTTCCGTACAGAGCCGGGTTCTCTGTGTTCGCGATCCTGGGGATGAAGGAGCGGACGAGGCCCTTGAGATTGAGCCCGCTGGAATTGAAACCAACGCCGGTTAATATGACGGCGTCGGCGATCTCGGGCGTTGCGGCAATGGCGGCGTGGGTCGTGTAGGAGCCGAATGAGAAGCCCATGACAGCTACCTTGTTGGCTTTGATGGAGCCGGTGTATTTCCCCTCTTTGACCATCTTTGCGAGGACTTGGAGGACGGCTTTGGCGGTCTCGAGTTGGGTTTCGAATCCGCTGGCCCTGTGAAATCAGTTAGATTTGTTTTGATGATAAGGTAAAGAAGAGTTCTTACTTTGTGGACGCCCCACAGCCGAGACGATCGTAGAAGAACACCGAGTAGCCCTTGTCCATTGCATGTTGAACAAAGTTAAAGTCTTGAGGGCGGAAAGGAGAGTTCCAATGTGTGCGAGCGGGTCCAATGCCATGGGTAGCCACAACCACAGTCTTTTCCTTCCCGTTTTTCTTTTTGGGCGTACAAAAGCTAGCCGCAATCTCGTAGCTCCCTTTGAAACGCTTCATGTTTCCAAAGGCTGCGACCTGGCCTGAAGTTCCATCGCGTGCCGTCAGGGTAGTAACCCAATCTTCGAATTCGTTCGGAGTCTTCCACTGCGTGGCGTTGAATTCTGGAGCTTCGTAGTCGATGCTGATGGGGACCATGTAGTCTTGACAGTCGCCATTTGGAGGATAATATGTCTGAGTCCTTTATTAATGTTAGTTGGGAAGCATATAGACTGTGGAACCTACTGACAGAGTGTTGAAGTAGCTGCCGTAGGATCCGTTGACGGCTGGACTCTGATAGCAAGCTGTCATGGTTGCCGTCCTCAACATGCAGGTGATGGCCATTGCCATCGGAAGGTTGGTCTTCATGGGAAGCATAGCCGCGGATGAATACGTAGTTGTGGATGGTAAAGAGTGACCGACTTTGGTTGAGAGTTGAGAGTTGGGAGGAACGAGTAT